TGTGATGAACTGACCAACCAACAAACCAGCTACTTAATGTTCCAGCTGTTATTGATATTATTTAGTTTTGGTCTTACTTTAAGAGCTTATTGCCTACATATGGAATGAAAGGCATTTCCATATAAGAATTTGGTTTAGAAAAAACCCATGATTTTGTATCTACTAGCTAACTGATTTTCTGTCTCACCTCTTTTGATTTAAAACTCTTCAGAGGAGGGATAAGGTTGCATCTGTCCGTGTGGGGTACTTTGATGGTACTCAATTCTCCCAGCAGGGCCATTGATATAAAATGAGCACAGCTAAATGTGTACGGCACGCAGAGTGCTGTGCTCGGATCAGGAATTGAGCAGAGCAGTGGATGTGTATCAGTGGCATTTGTTTCTGGCAGTGGCTGCAGGATGCAAGGTGCTGCACAAGCTGGCATGGCAAAAGGATAGTGTGAGCAGAAAAAAAATTGGCATGGTTGCAGTGAACACAATCCCTGCTGTTGCTTTTCACCCTGCATACTGAAATCTAATCACTGCAACAGTAAGCAGTGGAACTCAGATTTTAGTCATGAAATTCTCCCTAAAGCTTCCCATTTCCCTCAGTGATGTTGCTGACCTATTTCCAGCTCTTTCAGTGAATCTAGTACCCAACCCCTCTGGATCACCAAGACTAAACTTTGCTAACGGGGATCCACTGGTAAGCTGCCCTCTGAAGAGCCAGGCACATTCTCAGGTCCTCCCAGCTCACCTCTCTCTGCAGCTTCCAGTGAGTGTTCCTGTCTCCCAGTGCCTCCTGCTGAGATCCTTAATAAAGCTGCTTCAGCTGCGGGATTTTTGTGCCATTCGAGGGGAGCTGAAGAAAACAAGGGTTTGTCAGTGTTTGTGGGGATGCCCATTAAGTCCATGCAAATGAACCCTTTGTATCACCCAGCCTTACTGGCGCTGGGACAGAAAACGCAAAGCATTATTATCCCACCTGAATGTAAGAGCAGATTTCATCTGCTTGAAAAGTGACTGGTTAGGAGGAATATGAAACAGGGAGCCTGGGATAAGATGTGCCCCACTTCCCAGTCCTTCACACATCCCTTTCCAGGAAATTCAGACCTTCATTTTTTACAGTCTCCAACAGAAAGGTGGAGTTAGACTCTGAAAGAAAAGAGTGGAAGTCAGGGAGTGAGTAGGAGAGACAGTGACTCCAATTGCTGAAAGAAGATACTGTGTTACAGGACTGCTCCACACTGCAGTGTCCATGGTTCATACTGCTTTTTCTCAGCCAAGCCTGCTGAAGTAGCTGTAACAGAATAGAGCTCTGCATGGGCTGTGAATTCTGCTGGGCAAGCTGAGCAAATGCTCCCGTGGTCTCCCTGATGCTCTAGGCAAAAATGCAACAAGACTCCTCATGTCCTGACACAGCAAGTTTGTTACAGTATGGGCACATCTATGCTTCAGTATGATTACAGATTGGGCTGTGCTGGGAGAGGTAGCAGTTTCCTCAAGCTACCTTTACTTCCCTGTCTCTCTTTGCAGTCATGGAAGTGAACACCTACCATTGCAAACATGCTTACAAGCACTAATTAGTCGTCTCAAAATCATGGAGATTCTCATGCCAATACTAGCGAATGGTTCATTCATTCATTCATTCACTCATTCATGCACACCCACAGCTCTCTCCGACAGCAGCCTGCATCTCTCTGCAGTTGCTGGAGGAGGTTTCTGGGTATTGTCTACATATGTAGAGCAGAAAGACTATTTGTCCCTGGAAAGAATGGGGTTAGTGGACTGTGGAATCTCGAGCACAGGACAGAATGGTGCAGGCCAATTCTCTGCTAGATGCCTTGCAAAACAAAGACATCTGAGCTGCTGCACAGTTTAGAGGTGGGGGACACAAAACGTCAAGTACTTCTTTGCTTGAAAAATTTCTGCCTTATGTTCCGTGTAAAAGAGACAAGAGGTCAGGGCAAGGTTACTCTTCAGCTCAGCCAGAGCATGATCATCTCCAAGCAGCTGTCCTACTGCCCTTTCTTGGCCCTGTTTGGAACATACAGTCAGTGCAATGCTATGGTTTCTGCTCCAGCTTTTGGGTTCAGATGATGCTGGAGGATAACCAGTAAGTTCTCACTGTCTAGTTATCTCTGGTCATGGTTTTTCTTGAGTCCCTCAGAAGATGCCAGAGAGGTCCCGCAGAAGCAGATGGGTTGTCACCTCTGGCTTGCCATTCATCTATCTTTGCTCCTCACTGCAGCAGACTTGAGCATGCGCTCACTGAACATTCTCTGGCTCTCCTATGCATGTTCTTGGCAGAGACCTGGAGAATCCTGGAGAGTGGTGTTTCTAAAAAAGATGCTCAGAAACATAGTTTCCAGTGATTTGAGCACTCACTGTCACTGACACCTTTAAACCTGCCTTTGCCGTTAGGAAGATAAATCGGGCATTTAGAAGTGTGGCAAATGGAGTGGGACACAGTAGTGAGTAGGAAGGGCAATTTTATGTGCTGGACATCATATGTTTCTTTTTGAGCTTTCCAGATAGTGCCTCCTTAACTGTTTCCAAGTACCTGGTCTGAGTCCTGATGATCCCAGGGAGGTCTGATTGCATGACAGTTGTCCATCAGCTGGCCAGGGGGCTTGGATGTGAAAGGTATCTTCTCCCCTGGAAAACCGAGAATATAGATTGCATCCCAGGGAGAAGGCAGTGCTCAATGGAATGTTTTGGCACACCTGTGAAAAATCAAGAGCTTATGGTTTGCTGTCACTCCAATGCTTTGAGACCCTGCAGAGGTAACTGGAGAAACCATGCTTGTGGTGCTTCTGAGCTTTCACCTAAATACTTGCTCTATGCTGTCTTTTGTGCAGGTTTAAACAATAAATCCAGTACACTAATTCATGAGCATAGCATTTAGCAGCTTGGGAGAGAATTTTCCTGGAAGAAGCAGTTACTGGCCAAATTTTGCAGAACACTGCTTATATGTGGCAGACACAAAAGAGTTTTTGCACTGGAAACCACCTGCTGCATGGGGGTTGAATGAAGTAGTTAGAGGAGCTGGATGTGAACTTAGGGAGCTTGGAAATGGGGAGAGTTGCATGTATTTTGCAAACATCTAGTCTGCAAAACAAGCCACACACTCTTCTCTTCAAATTCTGCTTCAGAATTTTTTCTTTTTGAGAAAACTGCTTTCTGATCACCAGACAATATACAAAAAAATTCAGTACGTGCAGAGAATGACTTCAGCACCTGAGCCTATTGTAAGAGATGTACAAGGTGCAAACTGTCTCCCTACTCTTCTCAAAGTGGTAGAGACAAAAAAGCCTTCTGGCAGCTGTCATTTGTCTCAAGAGCAGTGCATGCTAATACAAGTATCTCACTCCTACTTCTCAGGCAAAAAACAGCTCCTAGCTGGTGTCACTGAAAAATGAAGTCCCCTGTTGAACTGCCTGGCCCTTAGCATCTTTACCCACCAAAACCACGACACCAATGAGGCTTTGTTTTGCTGTTACAAAACTGCAGAATACAGGAACTAAAAATGCAGAAGCAAGATCAACTGAGATGTGTTTCCCAGTGAAAGCAATAGCCTAGTGACTCTGCTGCCTCCCTGCAAGGGGCCATGGAAGTGCAGTGTGCCAGCCCTGGGGCAGCACTACAACCAAATAGTCACTAGCACTCTCCACTTGATGCTCCAGCTCTTTTCACCGCCATTCCAAAGCTGTCCCAGCTTGGAAAAAAAGATAGGTTGAGAAAAAAATAATCCCCCCCCCCAAATGCAGAATTAAGAAGTAACAAATACCGTGTTCTCTGGATTTGTCTTCTGCTTTTGAAACCTGGAGGTTTGGTGCTTTCCAATTTACTTGGCAACCAAATGTAAGTTCAAAGAAAATAAGAGTGATACGTAATCACACGACTCCAGGAGCTGCAACTTCTAGAAAAATGGAAGTGCAAGTGCCATATGGCAAGATGTGGGAACTGTGTCATGCAAACTGGAGACTGTGATGCTTTCTCAGCAGCTCTGGCCACATGAAGCCATATTCCTCATTTGATCTGTGTGCAAGGTTCTCATAGCTATTAGTGGGAAGTGCAGGGTGAATCAGACATAGTGCGTGACTCTGGCTGCAGCCCTTGATTGTGGAGGTAATTTGGCCTCCTGTTTATCATCTAAATAGATGAGCAAGGCTGGATATTCCAGGGAAAATAGACTTTTTTTATTAAAAGTGAGAAGTGACTGACTTCAGCTGCATAAAGCACCTTATTTATACTTTATTTATATATTCCAGGTCAAGAAAGCTGGTGGAACACCTTGCAAAAACCAAGCCCCTTAGGTGAGAAGATGCGAAATTACTTCTTTTAAAGGTAAACATTTCTTCACTATAATGGACTCTAATCTGCTGTCCTTGAGGGTGGTCAGAAATCTTTCCTGACTGCTTGCTGCTTTGGCTTTACCAACCTCTGCCTCAGCTCTGACTTGTTTCACCTCCAAGTGGCCTTGCCTGGCTAGGTGTCCCTCCAGCACTGGCCAGCTCTGCCTGAGATGAGCCTGTGAGTCCTGGGGAGAGACCAATGTCAAGGAACATGCTATCTGCTGTTATCAGCATGCAGCAGTCAATTTTAGGCCACAGGGACCCATGTGGCTGGGAATTTCTGTGCTCCTCGTTCTTCCCGAGGCACCTTGGAGAAGGCCTGTGCCCTTGTTCCTGGTTGACTTCGCCACCGGAACAGCTGAGATGGAAGCATTGTTCTTGTTCCTGTTTCCTTCTTTTCCCACAGCTTAGATGTTAGCCCACTGGCCAGGGACTAGCACTGGTACGCACACAGATCTTGCTATCTTGGCACAGTTTGCTCCATTTATTCTATTTTCTTCTGAAGATGTATGAACCAAAAATGCGTGTCCTCTCTGTGGTGCACGCTCAATAAATGGTGAGGTAGTAAACAATGCTGCATGCCCTAAACAGAGTAATTGAAGCCCTTCATGTAAAGACAATGTAATTTAAAAAAATAAAAACAAAAGAAAGAAAAAACCCAAAAAACCGGATTTAACTTCCTGATTACTTAATGGTTATGGGTTTGGGCATTTTGCTGCAGATTTTGGAGAAATGAAACTGCACCATTTGTAAGACTACATTCTTCTTTCAATGCTGCTGCGTGCCAGTCTGTTCCCCTCTTGAAATTTCAGACATGGCCTGTTTGAAAGCCACACTGAGCTGAATGGTTTTATCATGGCTTTCTGGGATTGTGATGATGTTTTAAAATGACTGAAGAGGCTCCTTTGCCACCTACCTAATGATTAGAAATCCCCAAGTACCTTATGAAGTCTTCTGCTCTTAAGGGAAGCTTCTGGCAAACCTGTTTAAGGTTCTGAGGCTGTATTCCTGTGTTTGTATGTGCAGGAGGGGCGTGGATGTGTGAGTGCATATGTGTAGACTGCGCAAGCTCTGACTTCTTCCCTCTCCTGTATTTCTGCTTATCCAGATGAGCTCCTGCTCCTGCAAGAACTCCCATCTCTTCAGCAGGTGAGACAATATCCTGAATGTAAGGGTCAGTCCAGGAACACAGGCTGCTGTGGAGCATACGTTCATAGGCTGGAGACCAGGAGACAGGGGCTTGGGGATTCAAGCATTACCTGGCTGCTGCTGTGCCTCCTGCTCTAGCAGTGCAAACAGAGCAGTGGCAGGTTTGGAAGGAATGGCATGGATGGGATGGTTTGGCTGTGTGGGGAGAGAGCAGTGGTGTGTAGCCAGCTCTGTGTTTGGTAGCCCAGTGTCTTACAGGGCTTGTAGGGCTGATGGGAATACAGCTCCCTTCCATGTGCACCTAAGTCACTGAGAAATTTTCTGGCCTCTGCACCTCAAGACATCAGTGTGGTATTTTGTATTTGTGCCAGGGCTGTTAACAGTATGTAGCATTTTATTTGCTATCAGTAGACTCCAGAGTTAACAGCTGTATTTATAGGACCAGTGGCACCAGGAAAGCAGGCAGCAACTGCAGAGCCACCAATGGGAAGAAATAAGAGAAGTGAGAGATCTAAAAGGCATGATTCAAGAGGAAACATTGCAGGAATGCAAACTGCCAAGTCAATATGAGACTTGTATCCATGCAAATCTGAAAGAATAGATGTTTTCCATTCCTTCTGTTGACAAGATAAGAAGTCAGGGGGTTAAACTACAGGCAGGGACACCAAAGTTTGGCGCAAGGAAAAGCTTTCTATAGCCATGAAAGTAATGGTGGCAGCTGGATTGTCTGTAGAGAGGAGGAAGTGTGTATTGTTTAACTGAAAGGTTTTAAAATCAGGATGAGCAAACCTCTATTGAGTTCGGATCAGGTGTAGATGACCTAGTTCTCAACATCATTTCATCAGAAAGATGTGTCTGAGAGATGAACATTCAGCACATCATAAACAGAAAATCAAGGCTGTGGTTAATAGGCTGAAAGAAAATACACCTTTGGCCTTTGGACAAAGGTTTGGTGTAGTAGAACAAAGCACTGAAAATTAGGCCATACTGGGAGAACAGATCTAGGTGGCAATACTATCCAAGCTTGTAGAACCTGGGAGCAGACTGATCTTAGTTCCAGGCTGGTGGTCAGTTTCCTGGGTGGATGAGCCATTTAGCTACTAGGACACTAGAGAAAAGAACTTGTTGCTGCTCTGAAGCCCATGATATATCCCACTTGGGTTTTGTCCTGCCAAGGTTTGTTTTAGTGCTTTAGGAATGGTATTCTCCAATTTAATACTCCCACTAAAATCATGTGCTGCTCCCCTTCCCCGCTCCCATTGGAGGCACAAAAGGCAAAGTTCACAGGTTGAGATAAAAGCAATTTACTGGAAACAGCAATGAGATAAGAAAACGAACAGTAACAGCCACACTATTAATAACAAAAGTGTACAAAAAAGAGAGTGATTCACATGCCAGAATTCTTACTATAGAGCTCTCACTGTAGAGCCTGACTGCAGCCAAGCTGTTCCAACTGGAAGAGAGCCCTTCCTTCAAAAAAAAGACTCCCTTCCCCCCACTCCCTGCAATGATATGAGGTGGTATAGAACAACCTTCAGATCCCAGTCATGTGCCCTCCTGGCTACTGTAAAAATTAACCTTGTTCTGTCCAGAACCAGGACACAGGCCTATATCCATGTAATTTACTTAGAATCCTCTTCCATTACTGTTTCATGCTCAGGCTGAGACAACTGGAGTTGTTTAGCCTGGAGAAGAGAATGCTCTGCTGAGACCTCATTGTGGCCTTTCAATACTATAAGGAGGCTTATAAAAATGAGGGAGAGCATTTTTTCACATGGGCAGATAGTGATAGGACAACGGTAATGTTTTTTAGCTAAAAGACGAGAGATTTAGATTAGATGTCAATAAGAAATTCTTTACTCAGAGGGTAAGCATGACACTGGAATGGATTGCCCAGAGAAGCTGTGGATGTCCTATCCCTGGAAGTGTTCCTGGTCAGGTTGGATGGGGCTTTGAGCAACCTTGTCTAGTGCAAGGTGTCCCTGTCCATGGCAGAGTGGTTGGAACCAGATGATCTTTAAGGCCTTTTCCAACCCTAACCATTCTGTTATTCTATGATATTATCTTAGGTTAACCCTGACTTATGGCTCTATATGGTACAACATGAAATAAAGTTATGAGAAGCTAGTAAAACCCACAGATTGTAAGAAGA